GACAACACAAAGAAAGTTTCTCTCCCAGCCTGCAATGGACATGGAGTTAGAGTGAGAAATAAACTTTGCTGTCTTAAGCCAGAGATTTTTTAAGTTATAACCCAGCCTATACTGACTGAAATACTCTGGTTTTCCCTTCAAACTCTAGAGAAAATATATTGTATTGGTAACAATACAAAAAAATGTGTAGCAATTTGGAGATAGTAATTTTAAATGACTATTTTTTGTGTGTATATAATGTATGTTAGCCTCAAGTGATTTAGGTGAAATAGATTTATATAAATAATTTCCATTGAAATTTCTTTTAAAATAAGGTTTTTGTCTACCTAACAGAGAGGAAATCAACATTCTAAAATTACCAACATATGTGTTCTTTTTTTGGGGTGGGGGTGCTGTCGAGGGAGTCAACTGTGATACCACAGTCAGGACTCTGAATTTCAGGCCTGATATAATCACTGAGTAATGTTCCCTCTCGCTGAGAGCTTTACCCAGAATGGTACCTTGTGAAGCAAAGGAGCTTTCCGAGAGAACATGATAAACGGGGCCATGCCCATGGCATTTATCTCCAGTGAGAAAATGGTCTTCCCCAAGCCCTATTGTGATGTGCCAGTTATAAATAATGGTGCTCAGTAAACAGAAGGTCTTAAATAATAGTTATTGACTAAATAAATGAAAGTAGTCCACAGTTCTTCCAAATATCTGAACTCTTTCATGTTTGCATTTTTAAAATAAATGTCTTTATTTTGGATGTTGGTTTAGAAACATCTTGGTATGAAGACTTACATTTATTCTTTTGTAATACTTTATATGTGAACATGTACCCACAGATTTAGGCTACTTTATTTGATATTTTTCACTACAGATTTTATTTCACCTGATTATTTCATTTGGGTCTTTAAAACTACATTATGAAATACCTTAATTATTTAAATTAGGAACAGATTAATTATCTCCAGTGTACAAACTCAAATTAATTTCATTATAAACCTGAGGTTTAAATTGATTAATCTTGGAGTGTTTAAGGAACAAAGTGGTTTTTTTTTTCACCCTTAAGGAGAAGGGCATATTCGATGTGATGGCTCTCTCTCTCCATTGTACCAGTTATGCTAATAGGCGCAAGAAATTTGCAAGAAAACTTTGGATGGATTTTATAAGCCAGCCAGAAACCTGTGTGTCTGGGGCTTCTAGGGGAACAATCTGTGAGTCATTTTAAAAAACAAACACACTCATAATCACAGTGCATGTTGTTACCATGGTAATTAGGCCTGTCGAGTTGGCTTGCTTATGTTCCTGCAAAGGGAAGAGGGGGAGAGAGAAACTGAGAATTCAGAGCTTTGACTGTCAGTTTCAATTTGCCTATTGCAGGAGAGAGTTAAAGGGTTTCTTGAGAATACACTGGCACAGTCATTTTGAGAGGGAAGTGAAGAAACTCTGGCATCCTGCCTTGGTTACAGAATATAAATTAGCCATATTATTGTTGGCTATTATGGTTCACAGGGGAGAAAAGGACCATTTGGCATGCTCTTGGGAGGAAGGGGGAAAATACTTTCTTTATCTGATATATGATTGCATATAAGTCTCTTGAGTTCAACCTCATGAATTGTCATGTGTGCCTGTGCACAAGGCTTTATCTAAAAGGCGCCAAATGCTGCTGGCATAACATTATTGCAGATTTAAATTATCCTCAGTGTATTCTAATATGGTTAGAGACCAGTTTTAATGAAGCCATTGTTTTGGATCTGATTTCCAAGTAGACCAGGTACTTTCTCTCTATTTTGTGGACTAGGTATGACTCCTTTATCTTGGATAGTCATCTTATAATGCAGACCCATGGGACACAAAGGAGACCAGGGAGCTTTTGTGAGCTCTGCCAAATCTGTTCCCACTCCAAGGGAAAATAAAATCAGAGCATATACTTGGTAGTTCTTGGGCCAGTGGAATGTAGGAGTGATCCATTATGATTCTATATGAAGAACAAACAGCACCCTTAAAGTACAGGTAGGAGTGCACTTATAAAGCTTTTTTTAGGCCTGTTTCTAAATTCACTTTCAGAAGCCTGTGTATCCTCTTAAATGGATAATTATAATATGTTGACTAAAGTTTTGTATAGCTCAACCAGATTTTAAAGCAGGTTTTATTTAGAATTGAAACAACTTTTCCTTATTAAAACTATTTTTCAAAAGGCTTGAAATAAAGTACCATGAGGTGTGATTAAAGTGTTATACAAACTCGGAGAGTTTCTTGTGCATGATATGTGCCCTGGCATGTGATATAATAACTGCTTTTAAACTATGGAATTCATTTTTCCTCTTATATGTGGAAAAAAGGCACATGTTGCCTAAACTTCATTCTGTGTTTAATTTATCTAGCATTAGTAAACAAAGCTTAACCTAAATTTTTTTCCTGATCATCAAAGTAATTTATGCTGATTATTGAAAATCTAGAAAATACTGAAAATTATAAATAAAAAATAAGAATAGCCCTGTCCCTTAATTCAATTCTTGGTTAAACTACACGTAACAGAGACCTGATTTCATAGTGGCTGACAGAAGGTAGAAGTTACCTTTCTTTAACATAACAATCCAGAGGTGGGTAGCCCAGGACTGGTAAGGTAGCCCTGCTCCACAAGATCACGGAGGGACCCAGGCTCCTTCTCTCATGTCGTTCCATCATTTCTGTCATGTGTCTCTTGCTTTCATTGTCTAAGGTGGCTTGCCATAAGGGCCCCACTATAACCAGCAGGAAAGAAGACAATTGGAAGGGGAGGGCATGATCCAAAAATTACACAAATCACTTTTGATGTCTTCCCATTGGAGTTTGTCACATGGCCACACACTTAGCAGCGAAGGAGGCTGGGAAAAGTAGCTGTTCTTGACGTGTATGTGCTTAGCTTAGCATTCTGTTAAAAGCATAAAAGAAAAGGAGAACAGATATTTGGGGCATATCTAGCAATTTCTGCCACTTCCATTATCCTATAAAACAGAGGTGATATACCATTTACATTTTGATGTGTTTTCTTTCAGTCTTTTTCTAGAAAAATACATACCAAAAAGATATTATGGATGATGTATACTAGAAAATATTGTGTGTACATAATATATGTCATATGTTAACATATATGCATGATACATTAGAAAAATATATTAAGATATTGAAAATATATATTAGAAAAATGCATATATATAAATATATATTAGAAAATTAGTCGAGGTCACACTATATAACATTTTTTCTTCTCTTTTCATGTTATATCATGTGCATTTTTCTAATCTGTTAAATCTTTTGTATTCGTTGTTTTAAAGTTCTATCAGGTAGAGTTTCTGTTTTACTTAATAGGTTGTATTATTGGTATTTACACTATTTCTACCACCTTGATTGTGATTCTTTGTCTACATTTTGGATTTTTCATGGTTAAAGTCAAAGAGTGGCATCATTAAAACAATGATTGAGAACATATTTGAGTCTCTTGATAAATAGTGCCAAACTACTTTCTAGAGAGGTTGTACCAATTTACATACGCTAGCACCAATAATGTATGAGAGGGCTGGACTCAGAACACCCTTGAACAGGCTTATTTTGCAAGTCCTATCTAGTCATTGTTATCCCTAGGGTTCATTGTTCATTCTCTAAAAATAGGTTGTTTTTTGCCCTTGGCTTTTTTTTTTTTCTTTTTGCTGTCATTAATCATGAGATAATTGTTTTCTAATAACTTTAGCCCATTTAAAAACATATTACCACTAACAGTCGTCTGGGAACATAATTGGTTGGGTTGAGATCATAGCACCCATGCCAGTCTCAAGCAATTCAAGATTCCAGGGGTACCGCATTCACTTGGTCCTAGGACCCAGTGTGAATTTGAGTTCCATCCTTAATCATTATACTCTAGATGTGAGATATGTCTTTGTTTTGAAACACAACAAAATAGGAATGGTGAAGTGTTTCTTGAGGCTTTCGTAATTCCCTTTGAGCTGGGTGCTCTGTAGCTTTTCAGGAATAAAGAAGCTCCCTCGTCTACATAAGAACTTTCTTAGATATGAACCACACTAGGCATCAAACGAAATTAGGCCAACTCTGTTCAACATCCACATAGGGCATTAGTGGCTGAGGGTATTGGTGTCTTTCTACTTCTTTTTTATTTTTTAGTTTTAGAGACAGAGTCTCACTCTGTCACCCAGGTTGGAGTGCAGTGGCATGATCATAGATCACTGCAATCTGGGTGAGGGTGATTGCAATCTGCAATCACCACTCCTGGGCTCAAGTGATCCTCCCTAGTAGCTGGAATTATAGGTGTGTGCCACCATGCCTGGCTACTTTTTTAATTTTTTTTGTATAGACAGGATCTTGCTATATTGCCCAGGCTGGTCTCGAACTCCTGGCCTCAAGCGATCCTCCCACCTCAGCCTCCCAAAGTGCTGGGATTACAGGTGTGAGCCACCTTGTCTGGCTGTCTTTCTACTTCTAAACAGCCTGTAGAAGCTTTGGATGCTAAAGATAACTCTTATAACCACTAACTTGCCCTTTCCATACTCTTCAAGGGCCAGATACACACAAACTGTATGTACTCCAACTCTGTCCCTAACACTTGGAGCAAGAGTGTGTTGGTCTCTGCCGCTTTGGTCCTGCTAGGAGCAGAACAGCTTAGATCAGGAGAAAAGCTTGCTCTTATTCATCCCACTCGTTCACAGCCTCTGCCACCAAGAACTCTGCTTTCCCTCTGTTCCTAAGTGGGCTTTGTGTTTTCATGTTTTATTGAAGGGTGAGGAATTTCTCAAAGAAAAGGACTCCTATTTCACAAATCCATTTCTTAACATTTCTTGATTTTGTTAACAAAATGTTTCCAGGTTCCAAAATGTAAACCTGTGAGACCCCCTGATCTTACAACTACTCTGCCTTTACCACCAACCCTAGTTTCAGAAACCTTCATTCTACTCACCCAGCTCTTATGTATCACGTTATATCTCCTTTCGAAAAATTCATTTTCTTCTCTGCTTTCTCAACAGCCAGATCTGCCAGTGAGCCTCAGGCTTTGGGAACTAAGGAGGTAAGAATTCTGAAATATTTTCTTCTGAAATCCCCTTGACTCTAACCAGAGCTTCAAGGGGAAAAAAATGTTAAGTGGTCCTACAGATGAAAGCAGTTAAACATGTGATGTTTTACTGGAAAGAAGCAGTCATTGCATCTTTACCAATATTGACATGACCTCAGGATTTAAAGAAAAAAAATGGTTTACTTAAGTGATAGTTAAGATCGAATTTTCACCCAAAAGTTTTCCATTTTTCTTCTAAAAATCTGAGTTGGAGAGCCTTTGAGGTTGCTGCCTTAACAAAATGTATCCCTGTGGCACCAAACATGATTAGTGGGTTGCAGACATTGAGGATGTACTCTGTGCAGACAAAACCTCAGAGCAGACTAGATCAGAGAAGGGTAAACCCTGTTCTTAACAGATTGGTTGTAAACATCGTATGGGCTTTTCCAGTAACAACAATAACAACAACAAAAGGTCAATCTACTGCTATTGGGGTTTCTTCTTGAAGAAGCTTACTTAGCTTTTGGAACTAGCTAAGGCCATTGAATCTGGTTATAGAGTTGAAAGGTCACCATAATCCTGACACAGGTGATAATGTGTTTGCCCATCCCAACCAAGATACACAAGTTTCTTTTAGTCAATGACTTGATTCCCCCCACCCATTTTAAAATTTAACCTTATTATGAAAAACTTCAAGCATATACCAAAGTAGAGAGAATAATATAATGAACCCCCACATCCGCATCACCCAATTTCAACAATTATCAACTGATAGCCGGTTTCATTTATACCCCCACCCACCTCTCTTTCCCCATTGAATTATATGGCAGTTTGTTGAATTTGATTGTTGGGTTTTTAATTATTTATGTAACTGTTTAGTGGCTACAGTAAAATGTTAATTAAAAAACCTACTCATAACCTGACTTAGTTTACTGAGGCTGGTCATTCAACCATTTATTCATTCGGCAGGTATTTATTTAGCTTTTACTAGGTATCAAACCTTGCTCAGGGTAAGAGGATCAATTTTCCTCAACTCACATGTATGAGGGCTTCAAATTTGGATTTTTGATATCTCCAAATGGGGTGATCTGTTAGAAATACACTGAAAGAATGAAAAAATGACCCTTATCATCCAAGTTTAATTGTTAAATGTAAACATTTAGAATCTGCCACAGTTTTTGAAACCCGCTTTTGACATTTCTTCACTTTTTTATCTACTGGGAATATAGAAACACAGAACAAACAAAGCAACCAACCCTCTGATGTACTTTCTTGTTTTCATCATAAATTCTCCTCCAGCGGTCTGCCTGCCTTTTAAGAATGGAAGCTCTGTGAGAGCGGGAATAGTGTCTGACTTACTAACCATTTGTAGCCTCTAGCAAGGTGTCTGGCACTTGTTATATATTCAATAAAACTGTTGAATCAATAAACAAAAGAATGAATGCCAGATGGTGGGAATATGAGATGAAAAACACACAGGCCTTGCCCTAGAGTTGCTCAGTCTCATGGGGAGAAAACCTTATAAAGAAAGAGGTACCGTGGTTGGTGTTGGTGAGGCGTGAGCAGGTGTTGTGGGTGCTGGAGGAGAGGACTAACTTGGAGAGTTTGGTGAGAAGCTTGATGGGCAAAGGGGCATTTGAGCTGTGACATGAGGTGCCATCAGTCAGAGAAGTAGGGAAAGGCATCCCTCCGTTCTACCAAATATTACTAATAATGAAAACTGTTTTGCAAGTATCTGATGTTCTTTGTCTAATGTTTGTGTTGATTTCTTTCATGCTCTTAAATGTGCTGAAAGTTTTCAAGCCAGTCAAAGCAGAGTTTCTCAATGGGGGTTGCTGGGACAGTTCTTCACTGTGCTCTTTGGTATCCTGTTCTTGGCTCACAAAAGGCTTGTGGCATCTTCCAGTTGCTATGACATTCAGACGCCCTAGGGAGACATTGAGAACTACTGTGTCTTAGCACACAACCTTAAAAAGGTTATTTGGCATTTTCCACTTTCATCTAAAAGCATTTTTCCCTCATACAAAGTTACGGGTTTCGGTCATGCTTGGTGGCTCCTTATGTAAGTCGTCTCTGTAATAACAAACTAAAGCAAGAAACTAAACAAAGTAGACAAGTAAAAGGAGGTATTGTTTGTACTGTCAGAGGGATTTTGAATACATTTGGTCTAGTACTAAATTTATTTTTTTTAGGTCTACACAGAGAAGCAAATTAAATTAGGTAATGGTCAAATATTGAGGTTTAAAGCAAAATACTACTAAAGCATCATGCGAATTAAAAGCAGCAGTGGTGAAAGATGTATTAGTTTTCTATTGCTGCTGTAACAAATTATTACAAACTTAGTGGCTTAAAGCAGTGCAAATTTATTATATTATAGTTCTGTAGCGATCTCACTGGGCTAAAAGCAAAGTATCAACGGGGTGCATTCTTTTCTGGAGGCTCTAGTGGGGAATTCATTTCTTTGCCTTTTATAGCTTCCAGAGATCCCATTCCTCCATCTTCAAAGCCAGCAACATTGCATTTGTGTGTCTTTCTACCACAGACACTTCTTCTAACTCTGAACTCAGCCAGGAAAAGTTCTCTGATTTTTAAGGGCTCCATGGGATAAGACTGGGCACACCTGGATAAACCAAGCTAATCTCCCCATCACAAGGTCCTTAATTTAATCACATCTTCCAAGTCCCTTTATTCAGGTAAAGTTATATATTAATATTTACAGGTTCCAAGGATTAGGACATGGATATATTTGAAGGCTATTATTTGCCTACTATAAAGTAAAAGAGATTAATTCTTTAGAAAGGTAGAAATGCTTCAGGTGGCAGAGATAGGGCTAGCTAACATTATATCAGATTAAGAAGGTTTAGGATTCTGAAGTGGATGAAGCTAATTTTTGTCTTGACTCTGCAGTTCTCATTTTGTAGGTCCAGGTACCAAAGGCTTTTGGTTTTCATGGAGTACTTGGCATTGGATCAAGTAGACAGGTTGAAGTCCAATGGCCCTGTTTTGGCCAGACTTTCTGGGACTATAGGTGTGCTGCTTTTGGCATTTTTCCAACTCTGGAGTGTTTGCCCACAGTGCACAGGTTCCAAGGTCTTTGAATAGGACCAAAGAAATGTCAGTTTTTATTTTACGCTGTTATGTCTGCCTGTCATGTTATGTGTTATTTATTAGGCTTTAAAATGTGGAAATTGGAGGAAAAATAACATAATATTTCAGAACTTCACTGTAGTGGTATTTATTATAGCCAATTTCCAGGTATGGTTTAATTTCCTCCATACATTAGGTAGATCATCCCCACAAAGTAAGAAACCACTTTGAAAACCTTCTTTGGAGTGGAATGTGGCTGGAAATTTTTGGTAGAGATTTTAAATTTTTCAGCTATTTTTGTAGCAAGTCCCGTTTCAATCCACTTCTAGACACTACAGCATTGCAGATCTGCAGTCCAAACCTAGGGCTAGCAGGGCAACAAACTATCCTGATTTGCCCAAGGTTGAGGGGTTTCCTGGGACACAGGACTTCCAGTACTAAAACTGGGAGAATCCCTGGCAAATCAGGATAGTTGATCACCCCAGATGTCTAACAAAATGGCGCCAGTGGAAAGCAACTATCATGCTGATGAATCATTAAAATATAAATTTTGATCGAGCTAAACAATATAGATAACCCCCGAGGTTTGTGTTGGAAATGGTGGTAAATGCATCTGTATCCATATATACATGTTTGTCCAAACCAGCTTTAAAAAGCCAAAAAAAAAAACAACAACAACAACAACAACAACAAAAACCCTAAGATTCAGAACTGAGAAAAACCAGCTATATCTACAAAATCTCAAGATTCAGCCTGCCCTTTCAGTTCTCCACTGTCACCAGCAGGCGCCTGCATGTTGTCTCTGATGCTGGAAGCTTTAATAACTTTGTTACTGAGATGACCACGGGACCTGGCTGAATCCTTTTCAGCATGTCAGCATGCATGGAAGTTATAAAACCCAAGTTTGCCAATGCAGCACAGAGCTCTCTTAGCTCTAATCTTGCCTTTTGTATAACAAAATTGAACTTTTCCCCCCTAAGAGATAGCATACACTGTTCAGGAAGACATAAGTATTAGGAAGACTATCTTGAATGGCCAAGGGAAGGGGATTGGAGTGCACAATGTCTTGGAGACCTATTCGGCTCTAAGAACTTGGTGCTTCTTGACTTTCCAGCAGTAGAGCATGAGCTACTTACCCCAATGTCAAGCTGCTGCATCTGGGTAAAGAGTCTTGTTCACCCTTTCCTTCCTGCTACCATAGTACCCTGTCCCATGTCATCCACAGCAAAGCCAGACTCAGGAACTGGGAATACTGAAGGTCCTAGGGCCTCATCCTTACATTTCTGTGGCTTTTTAAAAGAGATTTTAATTCTCTAAATCATTGGGACTAAGCAAAGGGAGCTATAATTGTACTTGAAAGAACAATAAATTAGCTTCCCCAGAATAAGCATTTGACTTTAAGGAGCTGGCAGGCTTCTTTTTTTTTTTTTTTTTAATAATCGTTTCCTATCTTCCAAACTTTTCTAGTTGGTAAATCCAGAGAATTTTCTTTCAAGTCTATTTTTTTTCCCCAAAAAATCATTTAGCACCATCAGTCATTGAGGTAGGATCTAGCTTTCTGATGAGGATAGGTCCCAGACAGAATTGTGAATTATTTTGATTTTCTCCTCAATCTCTTTTTGGGTTCCTTCCTTCTAGGACTTTTAATCCTGGTTGCGTTTTGCTAAGACTAACTTCATTTCAGCTTTAAATCTCTACTGGTTTTTGTGAATCAACAAGTTCCAGAAGAAATGAAAACAGATCAAATCCTTATGCTATAATTTAAACTCAGATTCTTTTATTCTTTTCCAAAGAGAAATTAGAGAGTAAATGTAAATAAGAGATCAAAATAACTACTTTTCTAAGTTTTCCTTTTGGGGTGATAGAAACGTCTTGGAACCAGATAGAGGTGATAGTTGCATGACATTGTGAATGTACTAAATGCCATT